GCGCCATGTTCGATGTGCAGGTAGGTACTCGTACTCGTATAGGTAACCTATAATATGGCTACATTTACGAGCATCTCCGTGAGATAAGATGAAATTTTCATTAGCGCGTCTGCTATCGCGTTCGTCTATCTTTCCTGGTACGACAACAACCCCATTTCACACCACAAGTTCATCGGTCCACAAGAGGACCACCTAAAGAGATAAACGGATCACATCAGCTCGACGTTTCGATTGACCGAACCTCTCCTTCCTCTCGCCATCTCGCCATTAGGACAGCGCGCTCGTTAGTAGTCCATAAAACGGTGGCGTTTGGTCATCGATTTCTAAGTGGAAACCGTTGTTTTAGATATCTTAATTACCCCTGATATCGCTTTTGGTAAGGCTACTGTTTCGTTAACAGCTCTGGGTGGCACAATACCTACCATCGATGACGTGCTATCGTCATCGCCGCGGTTATTTTGTCTTTGTATTATATTTATATAAATCTCTTCGTATTAGATCCGACATTCTCTGAAAGCGTTATTACGTTCAATTTGATAAACCGCAAATTTTAAGTAAATATTTTCTCTGGATGGTTCTTCGTATTATGATGTTATGTTATGTGTAAAAATTGAATCTATTCTTTTACGATGCCTATGCAACAAGTTGTCATCAATCGATAATAATTAATATCGGTTTTCTTGAAAGTAGCTATAGGTAATATAGAATCATCGAAAGTCTATCAGGCAGGATGTCAGGATTTTTCGATTTCTTCTGTGAACCGATTAGAGGTAGCAAAACTTTTACAACTGAAAGTCTCGTAAGTACCTATATGTGGATATAGGTAATATATACTTAACCAAAAGAGGCCGATTCCTTTGTTTCTTTTAAAACTATCACGCCTCAGAAATAGCTAATAAGTAGTAATAAATATTTTAATATTTGTTTTGTTGTTGAACTGACACAGCGTCGTCGTTATTCGTGTTTCGGGGTTGTTTATTGGCCGAAAATATACGTCCGTTGTTTTCCTCACCTTGATTAAATAATTTTTTCGCGTGTCCCATGCAACGGCCGCTAAATGAAGTCACTCATCATCCAACCTTCCTCCCATCCCACTGCCTCCGCTTGTCACGTGCCAAGCGGACATATTTTTTCCTATTTTGTCGTTCGCGACGAAAAAAATCCGGAAAAACGTACCAATCCATAATGTTCACACAAAGAGCTTTCGTTCCAGACACCGCGCCGTTTTATTTCTTCCAAATGTGGCTGATGCGGACCAAAGACAAAGGTGGAAATCTGCGGCTACGCGACATAGGTACCACAGCAGTAGTTACCTGTAGTCAGGAATGAGGGGTTGACTGTTAGTTGCTCCCCGAATGTCCGAAACGTTAGGCATAAATAACGAAAACGACAGCAACTTATTGCCCGTCAAGAAAGTTTTCGAGAATTTTTTGTTAAAAGGGATGTTAATACGCTCCTATTATTATTATCCGAACGTTTTTATTGCTTATCGCATGCGAAACGAATTAATGGATCGTTGTCGGTGGTAAATTTATTGCTCGAAATCTCGTCCAAGTACAAGCTAATATATTAGCATACAACAAACGACAGTTTCTTCGTTTATTACATGACGCAGACTTATCATCAATAATAATAATTTTTTTGTTTATGCTTTATGCAGGTACCTAACCAACTAGGTATCAAGTATATGTACCTATGTATTATATGCAAGATAAATATATGAAATTTCTAAATTAGCGGAAGGATATTATGTATGCAGGGTTGCATTAGATATTATATATACTACGCATAACGTTATCGTCGACACATTAGCTGTAGAGCAATACTTGTTGTAGGTACGAAGGCACCCCTAAAACCCTAAGTGAATGGCGTCACGCCCTCGGGCGGAGTTTATACGTCTTTTCTAAATAAGACATGCATTCGGCCATATGCATATTATTCATTTAGCACTTTTTTTCAGGTTGGTTTTTTTTTAAATTGGCGAATAAAAAAGTTGCGATCCCCGCGCCGCTGCCATTCGTTTGGTCACAAGAACAATGACGACGGTAGCGTGCAATAAACGGCGTACCGGGGTGGGTGGACGGGACGTGCCTATCAACTAAGCACAAGGTACAGGAACAGATACAACGAGCGAACAGGATGTTGGCCAAAAGCAGCTAAGCAGCTGCGTATCTTTATTTAGTAGAAGGATAATAACGTTAATTACCCATTATTTCGTCAGTCAGTGTGTTTCTTGGCGGACGAAGTGGGATATTGTGAGTGAATCCTGCCCGTTTTCGGTCTTTGCTGATCATGAAACCTTTCTAATTTGTCTGAGACATTTTCAATCGCTTGATTACATTTTCATCTAACCACCTCTGGTCCCATTCGATAGGTACGTCGTATCCTGTTGGTAAATAGGTAATAGGCTACTCATTTCCCACGCAGTAGGTACTAGATGCTTCTCGGCCACCTCCACGCTACTTATGTAGATCGTGTTGATGTATTTATTTTTCCTTTTGAATTAATGACCTTATAAATAGCGATGCGGCTGCGGTTTTGTCACCGCGCGAACAACTTTGTGATGCGGTTACGTTTATTAAAATTTAACGTCGAGTTGTCGGCTTTCCGAAAAGAGAACGCGTACGGCTAAGATAAATGAGAAAGACACGAGATGACGCTTTTAAAAGATCGAAAAATACCCGCGCGCTCTTTATCACCATTGTTAATTGCTCTCACGGCATATAAAAGTGACCAAAGTCAAGTTGACTCGCTGTTTTCGGTCAAAATCGGAACTTTATATTCATGCAAGTAGGTGGTCTCGCTGGCTAATTACGTAGCTTTTGCTCTTCTCATTCTTCGCTGCCGAGGCTCGAAATGTTCGTCTTACACGATTGCGTCAAAATTCACAAACTACTATATAACAACGACGACGACGACGACGATAATGATGATGTGTGTCCCTTTCTTTATAAATATCCATATGTGTAGATAATAAATTACATCGTTGCACCAATTTTGTCAAGGGATATTTTATTAGCTGATGTTGTCTTCAAAAACGAACGTTGTCCGGCAAAATTTCCGCTTTCTTGTGAGACGCCTTCAACTGATTTTTTTTCAGGGGGTGCAAATCCAATTTCGCGTCTTTCACAACGCAGATGCATTTTAATATTCAGTGGATCAGGAGCGCTACCACAAGGGATTAAAGACGCGCTAAAGTAAACTCGTTAGATTTGAACATCAAACGAAAATACTCTTTACAAAAGGCCAGGGACGTACTGGGAATTTTTCCACAATGATACAAACCGTCATTTGTTTTTAATCGTCATCAACACCATAAGGCCTTCAGTCCGAAGTTTGATTGGAACCAATTTCTGCATTTCTCGAAAACCACAACCTTACTTTCGTTTGTTATTTCCCCCATTTTCTAAATGTAACGATCTCTAGAATTTTCCAGAATATTTTAAAAATTCCTTCTGTACCCCGTCTAATATATCTGGTGCCTTACTATTCCTTAACCCAAGCTTTTCTCTCAGTATAACGGTATCCAAATTCATCTACCTCCCCGTTGTCTCCTTTTTCTAATACATCTCCTTGCTCTTTTTTAATTTTCTATAAACCAATGTCTCCTAACTCGTTTCTTATCTCATTACTATAGTGTCCTATTACTCTAAAATTACTTTTAATTATATTATAAGCCTAATCGTTGTTACCCACCACAAACTTCTCTACTTATATAATACGCCTATTATGTATCTATCCACTGCCACTTAGCTGTCCTATTACGCTTCCTAATGATTTCCCACTTTATCACCTAGTGCAATCTTATGATCCTATGCAAATCTGTCAAACCGTCAGACATCTGAATAGTTTATGTAGATACCTATTAAGTATCCAGTTAGTTTACAAAATAGAAGTAAGAATAATAATAATCGTAACATATATGTATGTAGGTAGGTATTAGACCACATAAAATTATAATTAATTTTTCATGTATTGTTTACATTAGGGTAGACAACGATTTGACTATCTTCTTAACTGAAAGAAACCAATAAACTTTTGTATCCATGCGTCATCAGAAGATTAATTTTTGATTTGGTACAGGTCTTATTTAAGCCCACCCTTCCTTACAGCCCTGTTCTTTGTAAGCGTTTGCGCGTTTTCCAGAAAATTCGCTTCTGTTTCGGAGATCGACGTCTCGCAGTCGTCTTTTCCGTCTCGAGATTAAAGATATAGGTTTTGCCCCCGGAGAGGGTTCACTGCTCAGGGGTTGTTAAAAGCATCATCCATCGAGTTAGAGGGATGAACGAACCGGGTCGATCTCGCGAAAATCGTCTTAATGTATTTTCTAGATGTTTAATACGAACAATCCAACTGACTACCCTCCTACCTCCTTCATCTTGATCGTATTAACAGAGAAATTGTTAAACACCGCGGATACGCTCGCAACTTTCGTTAATATCTATATCTACGTAAGTAGAAAAGGGTAAATTGAATATTTGCTTGATATGAAATCGTCACACCTGATAATCATCAGGTCATTTACTTACTGATAAATATCGTTTTGTATACTAATTGTATGTCAGTGTTGGCAAATTCATTGATTTTTATGCGAAAAACAGACACTGGGTACCGTACAAAAGCTTGAAACATAAATATCAAATGGCGAACGTACCGACAACCTTGCCAGCCGATTAGTTTGAAATAACCACCTGGGGAATCACTCCTGCTTTGGCATTTCTTTTTCCCTTTAATATAGCGTCATAGATAACGCGTGCAAGAGTCTTTGTTTTGTTATCAGGTGGCTACTTATCTTATACGCTTAGTGTTGAAAAACATGCACAAAACATGACTTAATCTACTTATGCACAGATAGATATAGAGGTACGTATTATAATGTAAACCTTTTTCTAAATAAGATACCAAGTAGACTCGTGCTTACATATATAAAAGATCACGTTTCTGTATACTCCGGTATTTTATCGTCAAAGGTGTTAAGTAGAATGATACTAGGAACGTACAGTACTTACAAAACCATGCTTGTCCGAAATGTTGTTGGTCAGTTTGAGTTTGTGGAATGATACGACCTTTTGCATCCATTGCTCGCCTGTCGAAGGGCTGTCGGGGTGAATGTACATGCGTTTGGGCATTTCCGGATCCGCCTTGCCCGCCACCATCCACCGACTAAAAGGAAACCAAAAGTGGTAGATTAGGTTAGGTTACTTTTAAAATAAATTTTATCTATAAGACGTGATCCGGTTAATCACAATCAGCTAGTCTGATATAAATTAAAATTTCAACTTAACGAGTACATTACAAGTATATGGTAAAAGGAAACTTATTTGTACAGCCAAAACGCATGCTTCTTGCCTGATTTGTTTACACATGTATCGGGTATTTGTTTGTTAAACGATAGAAATTTTGCCTAAAATATTACATCGGTATCGAAATTCCATAACAACAAAGTTACGCATTATTTATTTTATGATTTTCCTTTTATATGTCCATTTTTTTTTTTGCTGGTGGCCAATGATTGAGGGTTGTTTTATACAAAATTTTAGTATAAGTATAAAATTGAGAGCGCAGAGCGGCGTACCTATATCTGTGTAGTTACACAGATTTGAGTAAATGGTTACGCGTGGCGAGCGAATTTTTAACGCGAACATAGAACAGCTATCTACCGATCAAAACAAACACCCGAACGGCTTTTTTCTTTTTTTGATTCTGAATAACAAAACCAGTGAAAAACAAATATGAAAAAACAAATGAAATGTAGGTAGGTAGTTACTAGTAGTTTCTAACCTGTTATGGAATTTATATCTGCAATCGTCGATAGCAACGATGTCCATAAGGAGGATGTATTTGGATTTTTTGTCTAAACCGGATACGCGCACTTTGTAGGCAGGAAACATACGCCTGGAAAGAAGTAAAAACTAAACGTTAGAACTATCGAATCACCTGTTGTGAAATTTATATCGGTAATCGTCCGCGGCCACGATGTCCAAAAGGAGGATGTACTTGGCCTTTAGATCCAAACCCGATACCCGGAACTTCATTTGAGGAAACATCTGCCTGAAAAGGAGCATCCGAACAGAAAAATAAAACTATTTTTTACCTTTACACTGATGGACGGACGTGATGGAATAAAATATAGGTACTTTTGCAGGTTGCAATTGTTACTAGGTTTCGGAAAGAAGTTATTATTGTTTATTTTATAACTTATATTAGGCATGTAATAGGTATATAAATACATTAGTATAGTCTAGACTTTAGATGCTTATGCATGGAAAAGGACGCATCTCGTATCGCATCGGTGGTATTCTGATTAGTCGGGGCTGGATCGACAAACGGAGCTACTTATCATTGTTGTAGTAGGCCGGTATAGGATCATAAATCAAAACTTTTAGAGCCGGCTCCGTTCGAAGGTATTTAGCCGATCTGGTAGTAAAGCACACGTAAAACATGCTACGGAACGACGACGGGACGTGTAAGTATTAAAAAAATTTAATACGGAGCGACCGCGAGCCGCGACCGACTCAAGGATTTAGAGGGCCGCAGAGCACAGTGTCCTGCCCGATCGCCGATCCCGATCGCTCAGGTACCTATCCGAAAAGGAAGATTCCATCGTACCGCTTTACCGCATCGTGCCCTCGCTGGTTCGCTCTTTTCGTCGTCACGGTCATCATCATCAGCATCATCATCATCATCATCATCATCGTCATCTTACTCTTGGTCGTCGTGATCGTCTCCGTGGTAGTTGTTGTTATTATTATTACCGCGACGGACAGTGGCGTTGTCTGTTTGTTTAGTGCATCTCTGGTGCCGTAGGCGCCTGACGGGCGCACGGCGGGGGGGCGGCCCGTTCCAAATATGCCGTATTAAGTCAATTATTGGAAACTGGCGCCTAGGCGCTCTGCGGCTCTTTCACGATCTTTCCGATACCGCCTCCCTGTCATCGTGCTCTTGCTTGTTGTTAAATTAATGTATGATTCGAAGTGAAGTTACACATGAAATTGTCGCTTGTTTATATAATTCTTCTTTTTCATACTTTTACTTATTCTAAAGTTTCGGCTTCGTATTCCTATTATCCGTCGTAGGATAGGATAACGTTAGAAAAATAATGAGATTTCACCGGCGTTTGCTTATTTGCCCCTCTTAGAACTTGCATAATTATTCTTTTCATTGTTAATGTAAACATCATTTCGTATGAAGCGACGACGGCTAATAAGTAGACACATGTATATATAATAATGAAGCGCCATAATAATTGTGTGGAATACAGCCCAGCCTAATCACACACCGTCGACCACTGCATGGGTTCACCTTGTATTTAGGTGCAAATTAGTTTGCCAACCGGAGGCATTATTATATCAGACATCGGATTATTACGTGGAATCAGAAAAACACGTACCAGCACGCGAACCTTACAAACGGGTTTATAAACTTACTTATTAATTTATCCGCGTTAGCGTTCTGTAGATACTTTTATTTTCTATTAACTTATCGGCTATTTTTGTTTTCTATTAACAATGTTCGAGTTTTGGAATATTTAGGGTTGTTAATGAAGGCGCCGATGGCGACAGAATTACCAAACAATAAGCTCCAACTTTTTCTTGTTCCCCATTTCAAGCGCAACTCGGTGCGACCACGTATAGCTAATATATACAAACTGTGAACGTGTTTCTTGCAGCTTGGCAATTGCAAATTTAATATTTATCAACAGTTGCCATTGATAAAATCGTACACAAGACGCAAAAAAACCATAAAGTGGACTAGGAGAATACAAATCGATCAGATAAATGCCAATGAAAACCAAAATTATTTTGTTGTTCGTTAACATTTATGGTCATACCTAACACCTAAATCAAATTTAATAAATCTGTGTCTGGTTAAACGTATTGGTAAAAGGTTGATTCAAGCTTATGTGATAAAGATGTCTACGTAAAAGCGCCCTACGATAATAATGATGGGGTAGTTAGTCTTCTCTGATCATCATCATCCATATTCTCGATGATATTACAAACATCCCCTGCTTTTGAAAATCGACAGCTGCCGGTAATCTATCACATAAACAACCCTAAAATTGAAGACATCTTTCGAAGGGGGCGGGGGATAATCGGGAGTTGGTGTCTCTACGTATTCAGACACAACATATACGAATGTAGAGTGTGTATAGGTTAGGTGCGTTCGTCTGTATGCGTTTAAAAGCCCGGATAGACCGATGCCTTCGGCATGGATCGAATCATCCTTTTGTATGTATTAACTAATAAAACATCACCACCACGCCAGTGGTGTTTACATAGGAAATACACTGTTAATGTTGTAGGCGTATTTGACTTTGGGAGAGAAATGAAGTTATCATTAAAATATTTGGAAATATTGGTATCTACAAGTAATGCTACTGAACTTTTAAGCTTGGTTTGAAACCGTTAAATTAGATCTACGTAAGATAGTGTTGCCCAAACGCAAGAACAAGACGAGACTTAGCCAGTCTTGGTCTTGGTCTTGCGCCAATACACCTGGTCTTGGTCTTGCGCTCCCAGTCTTGGTCTTGGTCTTGGTCTTGCGCTCCCAGTCTTGGTCTTGGTCTTGGTCTTGCAGCAAGAGTCTTGCAAGTCTTGCAATTACCTATTAGTCTATTACTATTTATTAAAGTTTACTTTAAATCCTAGAAAAACGTATTAGAATTGGAACATTGTGAGCTTGAATGAATATAGCCATAGTAAAGATCAAGCAGATTAATAAATAACTGAAGATTTGATAAGAAATTCGAAAAATCAACTGACCTATATGTCGTTTTCCATGGAAGTAACTGTTTCTTAATAAACATTTATGATCCTTGCTTTCTACCGCGCCGCCTCGCCACGTGCCGGCTCTATGATAAGGATGCCGCCGCAAATCAAACAATAATATAAAGCGTGTAAAAAAATTCGAAATTATTTTGCATGAGTATACCTACACCCTATGGCGGCAATCAAATAGTGTCAAATGTTATGATTTCGGCGTGGCGGCAACGATTGTTTTAGATTTCAAAAGAAGCCGCCGGCGCGTGTATCATAACCATGTACTTCCGAAAAGCGGCAAATTTCTTTGAGAAGTAAGTACAAAACCTTTGATGCCGCATTATCAAAGTGCCGATGGTTAAAACATAACTATGCATGCACTCAGTTTGATTTTAATAATTTTTTTATTCGCTATGTTTATGGTATTAGTCGTAATGCGCATAGGTCCAGTTTTTCATATTCTTTGATACAGTTTTTTGCGTCTCATAGAATTCCTAAGCGTACCTACCTATACACCGAACTGTTACACCTAACTACTCAGTGAAATAGCGCTAAGTCCTAGCTGCAAGACGCAAGAGTCTTGCAGGCTATGTCTTGTTCTTGCTCAAGTCTTGCACGGTCAGTCTTGGTCTTGGTCTTGCTAAAAATACGCGGTCTTGTTCTTGGTCTTGGTCTTGCAAAAACGCAAGAACAAGACCAAGACTGCAAGACCAAGACTGAATTTGGGCAACACTAACGTAAGATATAAGATCCATGCAGAGAAATAACTCAAAACGATTTGTATTTGAGTATCTATTATTCACGCCTAATAAAATGTATTAGGGATGAGGTGTCACTTCTGAAATAATTATCAGTGTTTCGTCGTTTTCGTGAACCGTTTCGTACAAAAAGTCCCAATGCCTCAATAAAATCAATAAAATAATTGATCATAAACAAAAGCTCTTCGAATATAAAAGGGTATTACGTGACCCCAATTTCAGATGCCTGCACGATGTTAAACTATTTTCCTCTTTCTAGCTTGTCGACACTTGAAAATATGTGCGTACGTACCATCTACTCACGTGAAAACTTCTCACCCTGGAACAAAAGATTAACAAACTTTTGCTTTCAACAAATTCATTAAACCGTTCCGATCATTTGTATAAAAAAAGAATGAAATTTATTTTCAACTAACCTATGACAACCCGCTTAGCTGATGGGTTTACATTCTCACTTGTTCTATTTGGGCTTAAGCAGAGTGATGGGAAAATTTCGAACATCGAAGAGCATTCTACAACATTCTCACTTATTCTTCTTAACTGGTGTTTGGTGCGCCGTGGTCCACTCGCAGACTAGTGAAGAAAATATTAGGAGGTTCCATGGGGCATTTGTTAGAGCACTGATCGAAATATACAAAAACGCCCTAGGTCGACCACATTTAAACACCATAGTTCCTACACCGCCGCAGCTACCGACATGCAACCACCATAATGCATGATAGGAGGCTCGAGGCTACTCTCACATGTAAACATCGGTGGTTTGCGATGGGTGCCTAGTCTATTTTTAATAGATGCATCCACGGAAACCGTAGTAAAAAGTGACCTTTATTTACGTGTTGATCGATTAGACTTACGTGTGTGTGCCATTTATATAGCGTAAAAGGAATCTTAATAAAACTGTTAAACGGAATGTGCAAATTTCGAACGCGTCCCGACCAAAACGAGCGATCGACCGATGCATGGGACATTAGACTCTTCTTGTACATCCTTATTAGGTAAATACTAAATTCTCTTATCTCATCGCACTTTATAATATCTATCTAATAATTGTTTATTGCAATTGGGAAACCCGTAAAATACAAATAGATAATTAATTGAGGTGTTCGGCGTGTAATAAGAGTTGAAGACCCTCCACGCGGTGTTGGTAAATGTAAACGCAAGAAGGAAAAGGACGACGTATAGTATTATCCAAAAATAACAAACAAAACGCGATCGTATAATTACAGGTCATACGTATAGGTAGAACGATGAGGATCGAGTAAGCCGAGAACGAACATCTTTTGTTTTTGGTTAATGGCGAACGACTTGGTCGACTGCACCTTATAGTGCACGTCAATAAGGTATAATTTAGTATTTATCATATTTTCAGTGTGGTAGGTACGAACGGCCAGTTTGATCGTCAACGTGAGCTCACGCTAGAGAATCGGAGGCTTCTTCACTCGGTCCGTTGTACAGTCGTGATTATTATGATATTCAAGGTAGTTTACAACGTTGTTATACTGCAACGAGGTTTTACTTGATTAAAGGTGGG